GTTATGGTCTTCCCAATATTTCTCACACTTAGTAATGGCCCTTGGGAAATTTCTAGAAGAAAACACTTATAAAACGATGCTTAACAGCTGTGCTTTGTCTCCAGAGAACAGAAAAGGGAAGTGAATCTGAAACCCAGTGGAAGCAAGTGTAGAGTCATTCCAGATACTAGCAGTTCCTTTCTGAGCTTTGATGCTGTGAGAAAGATCAGTGTTTCATTAACAACAAAGTTAAGAATTGTTTGTTTGCCTAGGTTTATAATCACTGATCAATCACTGTCTCTATGTATTACTAGGCAACATGACACAGCAGATTGAGAGCCCAGAGCACTGGCTGATGGTAGCTGTGATCATGGGAACTGTCGTAGAAAAATGTTTAAAGGCTATCTCATCTTGTTCAATTGTGGTTTTTGAAAACTTAGTAATAAGACAGTTTCATATGACTTTGTTTTACATTATTTCACTTGTGCCACATAACAGCTCAATATGGTAGTCAAACCTAGTATGATTTGACTTTGATTTTGCCCATGAATATATATATTCTCTTTAAGGACAAGTTCTGATCTGAATATAGTGATTAAGGCCAGGGGCTGAAACATGGTTTTGCTTTACTGAAATACAAGTTTTGCTATATATCCTTCTTTAAATGTTTGTGAAATTATAGAAAATTTAGAAGAATAAACATGCTTAATTTTAATTTATGGGATTTCTTCTCTATCACTTTTTCAAGCCCTTTCAACAGTTTCGTTAGGCTTTTATGGTAGAGTTCTAGACTCTTAAATCTCATATTAATTTTTTTATTATGGTATTACAATACTTTTAAGTTTTTAGATCATACAGTGAAATTGACTTTCTCTTGGTATGCAATTCTATGAGTTTGAACATATATAGAGGTTTGTGTAACTACCACCATGATCAGGATACAGAACAGTTCCAAAATCCCTCATGCTACCTCTTTAGAGCCACATCCTCCCTTCACCTATAACCCCTGGCAACTATTGATCTGTTCTTCCTGACAATAGTTTTGTCCTTTCAAGAATGCCACAAAAATAGCATCATACAGTACCTTTTAAAAATGGCTTCTTTCACTCAGAATAGTGTTTTTTAAATTCATCTATTGTTACATGTATTAATGCCTCTTTCCATTTTATTGCTGAGTAGTGTTCAAGCATATGGATGTGTCACATTTTGTTTGTCCCCTCACCCATGGAATGACATTTGGATTTTTTTCAAGTTTTTAAGCAATTAGAACTGTCAGAAGCTTTCTTTCACAATTTTTGAAAAATATTTTTCTTGTAGTAAAGTTCTACTTTCTGTCTCTATGAACTTACCTATTTTAGGTACGTCATATAAGTGGAGTCATACAATATTTGTCTTTTTGTGTCTATCTTCTTTCATTTCATCTAGTGTTTTCAAGATTCATCTGTATTGTAGGATACATCAGAATTTCATTTCTTGAAACAAATGATAATGAAAACACAACATGCAAAACCTATGGGATACAGCAGAAGCAGTATTAAGAGAGAAGTTTTTACACGTAACTTTTTAAGTTCAGAGATGCATGTCCAGGTTTGTTTTATAGTCAAACTTGCATTACACAGATTATTTTACCACCCAGGTATTAAGCCTACTACCCATTAATTATTTTTAATTTAATTTCTCTAGCTTTTTAATTTGTAAAGTTGGCATAATAATTCCAGCCCTACCTAGCTGTCAGATTTTTTGTGAGGCTTTAAGTGAAAGTAAGGCATGTGAAGTTACTTTGCATAAATTCTCTGAATGAAAAAAATATATATACCATTATTATTAAAACACTTTGATAAAAGTTATTCATGGAAACATACTTATCTGTAGTTAAAGACCCAATAATGATATTTTGTATGGAGACAGGTTCAGGTTAATTTTTATGGCTCAATAGGCTGAGGTTACAGCTTAAGATGTCACCGAACCAGAGACTCACTATTAATTACCATGGTGGGAGGTGTTGGGGGGATTAGAGGCAAAGCTAAACAATTCCTCTACCTTGGAACAAATTGGAGAGGTAGAGTAATACCAGTTCTTTTGTTCCTTCATATTTAGCATTTAGTATGCTTTATTGAACTCTTAAAATGAGCTGGACATTTGGAAGAAATAAAGATGCAGAAAGTCAGTGCCCCATTCCTGCTCCTACTCTTTATGTATAGGAGCCTCTCTTCATTCTTATCAAGGCCTTCGCCTGTCTTCTGGCCTCTGCCCTATTCTGGCTTTCTGGATTACTAACCATGCCGGGACCCTGTTGTCAGGCATTTCAGCATTGCTTTTCCTGTGACCTTATAGCCCTTGTCTGCTTCATCTCACAGCGTTGGCACTTTGCTAGCTGCCACCTTCTACCACTTCCCTCTGTCTTTTATTCCCACATTTACTCCCAGGTTTTTGAAAGTACTAAATTGACCTTAAGAATGAATGGTTGTTTTAAATGATGGTGAGGCTGGATTCTATTATGAATAATGCTGCTATAAACATTGGCATACAAGTGTATGTTTGACTTCCTGCTTTCAATTTGTTTGTATATATATGTAGAAGTGGAATTTCTTGATCATACGGTAATTCTATGCTTAACTTTTTAAGGAACTACTGAACTTGTTTTCCTCAGTTACTACACCATTTTACATTACTGCCAGTAACACACAAGGGTTTCAATTTCTCCACATCCTCACTAAC